TGTAAAAAAGACAGCAGTTCTTCACAAAAAGTATAATTAGCTTGTCAAACTTATTGCCGCATTTTATGAGGACTATTGTACCACAGTATAGTTTAAGTCCAAAAACAGGTTTTTAGTTGTTTTATAGGTTACAAGTGGAAATTCTGTGCTGGCCTCTCAGTTGGCAAGGGAACTTTCTACTGAAAAAATTAAGTCTGGAAACACGTTTATTTTTTCATATGGAAATACTTTAGGATGACTAAACCTGCCTAACTCCTCTCCCCCATCACAGTAGCTTTGTTCCAAAAAGAGTCAACTGTAGGTTGATGTTAAACGTATAACTGCTTTAAGCTGCCTTGTATTTGTGCTCGGAATGTCTAGCAAAAGTTGGTATTAAGCCAGCCATGCTTCCCACCCCGCCTGGGACATAGTGCATTCAGTATCTAGCCAGCCAAGATGGATGGGGGCAAATGACTAATTACTTTTACAGATCAACACTGTGCAATTATTGCCGTAAATCTTCAAAGCAGATTTGATGTTGCCTCTCCTAAGGCCATTTCTTCCACTCTTTCATGTTACTGGGCAGTAGGACTGGGAACGACAGGTCTGCTACTAGAAGTGCTATTACCTCAAGGACCTGAAGGTCAGCTGCCAACGTTCTGGCTCATATGCTCAGCAGCAGTGGCATGCATGAGGCTTTTGGGTCCTGGCTGGGTCAGGCCCTCCTCAGGATTCTGTTCTTCCACAAATTCAAATTGTCTTGTGAATGCAGGAAACCAAGTAGAAACACTTGGCAAAAAGAGACTTAAAAGTAATCCTTGCCAGCTTAACGTTGCATCTTCCTATCATTTCCATCCAAAGGAGCAGCGGGGGCCACAAATGTCTAATACAATAGTAAAAACCAGGGATGGAATTCAAATTTTTTAACAACCGGTTCTATGGGCATGGCTTAGTTGGTGGGTGTAGCTTGGTGGTCATGTGACTGCATGGACATGGCTTGGTGGTCATGTTATTGGCTGGATGTGGCCAACTCAACATCACTCACATCGAGGCACGCATCTCCTCGCCTGGCCTCTCATGACTGTGGGAATTCTGTAATAGTTGTAAGTGTGAAAAACGGTTATAAGTCACTTTTTTCAGTGCCATTGTAACTTTAAATGGTCCCTCCACACAAGCAAAGTGCCAGCAAAGGAGCGGAAAAAAAACTCCAGAGAAGTTCCTGAGACAGGAAGTCCAGTCCTGCCAAGAATGTAATAAGGGTTAACGGAGAGGCAGTTTCTGTAAGCAACACCAGAATGTTTCCTTCCTGCCTTCCTTACAGGATTAGCCCAGTAATTTCTTCTAACAAACGGTTCTCTGAACTGCTTAGAAGGTTACCGGTTCTAGCAAATAGGTGCGAACCAGTAGAATCTCACCCCTGGTAAAAACGAACCATTTGGAGAGGTGAGAAGAGACAGATTAGTTCAGAACAGCCTGCATTTTTTGCTATGGCACCAAGATGTGTGAATGCAGGGTTCTGGCCAGAATTTGAAAATTTACAATTACAAAGTTACACGACAGATGATGATGATGATGATGATGATGATGATGATGATGATGATGATGATGATTATTATTATTATTATTATTCATAATGACTATAATGACTGCCCCCGATGCCTTCTCAGATACCTCTCTAGATGTCAGCTGGGGGGAGATGTCCCTGGCACATCAAGAGCTGAGCTGATTGATGGCTCCAAGCAGCTGTCTATGAAGGCGTTGCCTGAAGCAGCGTTACAGCCGGACAGCCCTGAGGCTCCAGGTAGGGAAAGCAGGCAGCTGCAGCCAGTCAGTGATGAGGAAGAGGAACTGCCTACTGCACCTGATTCAAGAACAGGTAGGGCAGACAGAAAGCAGGTGCAGATAAAGGTCAACCGGATTACTCACGAGGAAGCCTCACCCTTCCTGATGGGCTGCACCAGAAGATGGCTATTTAGCGCAGCAGACAGATGGAAGTGATGCTGGGGACAAGGTGTTTGTTTCCTATCTGTGTGTTCTCTGGTTGTTGTGATTCCTGCCTCTCTTTGGACTGACACCGTGCCTTGACTTAGATCGTGCCTTGCAAACTCTGGAGCATCACATAAGCAGCTTCACATAAATTGGGAAACCTAAGCAGGCTTGTGAGGGATCCCATAAAACCTTTTTAAATGAAGCATGAATAAATCAGATGGTATATAAAATTTAAGATTCAGAAATTTTGGAATATTTCAATAGTTAAGCAAAATTAGAAATATTGAGATTTCCCATTTTTGAGAGCTATTAAATTCACTCTGAAAAAAAAAAATGCTCTTAGCATACTAAAATAATAAGTGTGTGTGCTTATTTTAGACAAAACAAGGAACCAAGTTAAGGAAATTTGAAAAGAAAAAGTTTCAATGCCAATCTGGAAAGATAATGGAGAAAGAGGATGATCTAATCACGTTGGCTGTATTTTAAGAGCATGAAAATGACTTTTTCCCTTCTCTTTTGGAATCTCTCTGAATTCTTTCTTTTCATACTTTCCACTACCACCATTACACTTGGAAGCCTTTCCCCCAAATGCATAATATTTGGCTGCTTCAAAATGAAGAAAGCAGTTCTGCTAAAAATAAAAAATAGACCTAAGGGGAGGGTGAGAGAGAGAAAGAGGGAGAGAGAAGAAATGAAGAGAGGAAGGAAGAAGCAAGAGTAGATAAATATAGACTACTTAACTTTTCCCCTGCTATAAAGAAAAGGAGTTAATGTTGACATGGGAAAATATGTTGACGAATGAATGGCTGAGTTAATACGGTTTTCATCTGGTTTCTTGGCCAGAAGAAAGCTACAGCGGTGTTAAATTTGTTGCCCTCATCAATGCTTCCTCTCCCGTCAGAAGTCCAGTCCCGGCAAATGTTGTTGTCCTTCTTTCCTAAGTGCAGGGCACATTAAGGAGAGTGGTTGGTGGAAGCTCCCTCTTTTCCACTAAAACGACACCAGGAAAACATCCACCAATCATTCTCCTTAATAGAGTCTGGGTCTGTGGAGGAAGTGAACTTTGACGGATGAAAACGAATATCTGAAAAAGTGATCTGGCTTTGCACAAACGTTTACATGCGTGCATTTGGTTATCAGAGAGGAAATGATGACAACGTCGAAGAAGATGATGATGATGTAATTTGATGAGGTCGTTTACTTCTAGTCTTGCTTTTGGCAAGCCAGCTAGAAGACTTTGGGCTGGTTCCTCTCTCTCAGGAAGAAAGCAAAGGGAAACCACTTCAGAAAAATCTTGCCCAGAAAACTGCAGGGATTCGTCTAGGCAGCTGCCAAGAATCAATAATGACTCATAGGAGTATCTCTCTCTTCCTCCCTCTCTCCCTCCGTCCTTCTCTCTCATGCATCATACCCTTTAAAGAGGCTTCTTTTAAAATGACTCTTACTTCTGATATCTTATCTAGCTTAATTTTATATAAAGATATATAAAGAAAACATCTACATACATGAAAAGACATTGCATATTCCAAACAAGTTCAGGAAAAGAAGGAATGGGGACAAATTGATGGAATCATAGGGCTGGAAGGGAGCTTGGGTCTTCTAGTCTAACCCTCTGCAGGACACCTTACACTGTCCCAGACAAATAACTGTCCAGTCTTTTGAAAACCTTCCTTGATGCAGCATCCACAACTCTAGGAGGCAAGTTATTCTATCGATTGGTTTCACTATCAGGAAATTTTTCCTTCGTCCCAGGCTGGATCTCTCTTAAAGAGCTTCCACCCATTGCTTCTTATCCTGTCCTCTGGTGCTTTGGAGCAGGGGTCTCCAACCTTGGCAACTTTAAGACTTGTGGACTTCAACTCCCAGAGTTCCTCAGCCAGAGGAATTCTCAAATACTGGAAGGTTGCTCTCATGTCACCCCCGATCCTTCTTTTTGTTAGGTTAGACATACCTCAGGCTCACTCCCTTAACCATTCATTGTACGACTTAGCCTCCAAACCCCTTGTCATGTTTCTTGCCTTTCTCTGCACATTTTCTAGGGTCTCAGCGTCCTTTTTGTATCATGGTGACCACAATGGGACCCAGGATTTCAAGTGGTTTCACTAGTGCAGAATAAAGCAGTACTATCACTTCTCATAATCTTAATGTTATCCCTCTGTGGATGCAGCCTAGAATTGTATTGATTTTTTTGGCAGCTGCACCATACTGATGGCTCATAAGTGGTGGTCCACTAGGACACCAAGATCCTTCTCAAAGTTATTACTGATGAGCCAGGTACCATCTACCGTATACCTGTGAATTTGGTTTTTCTTTCCTGCCTAAATAGAAAACCTTAATTTCTCACCATCTTGTTGGCTAGGACCCAATGCTCAAGTCTGTCAAGATCCTACTGAATCTTGAGTCTATTCTCTAAGGGGTAGAAAGAATCTAATAAGGGCTGGTTGATTTATGTAACACATCTATCAACTTTATGTGGTAGCTGCATAATGTGCAGATTTGTTTAGCTGTAGCATGGTCTGGTATGTTGTATAACTGGACCTGTTTTGTTATTTCATGATTCACATGATTATGGAAAGCCAGAAAATAAATTATTAAGAGGCAATGCTGATAGCCAAGTAACCTTGTTGAGGCCATCTTGGATATGGTGACCCTAAAGCCTAAGAAAAGCTTTGGATGGAAAACAAGGTGTTAATGTTTAAACCTCCCAAAATCATCTCGCTCTGGTGAAGAACATAAAATCTCAAAAGTAGGAGGAGATTCAAGGCTTGGTGCTATAATGAAGATACATTTCCTACCTTCCTTCCAGCTTGCAAACTCACCGAAGTAAGGTGCTCTTTGTATCAGATACACAAAAGATATCTGGGAGAGTTATGGCACCTAAAAAAAGTACCCTGGGCGGGGAGACTCAAAGATGCATTCAAAATGCTAAGAAAATTCATTTTAAATATTTGGTGACATACCACAGTTTGTAAAAGCTGTGATTATTTCATTCTTTTGGACTAAACTAGACTCGCCTAGACTACTTTATTGGACAAGGAATTTGTCTTGGTGTAAATGCTCTCAGTATACATAAAAGAAAAGATGCATTCGTTACGAGTCGAGAATCATCAGTTTTCTGGACAGACCAAGATTTTGAAATTGTCACCGAGCGTTTAGAGTGCTTTTTTCTTTCCCAGTATCTCTTACTGGAATATTTGCAGTTGGCAATTCAGGATTTATTTAGTTTTTGCCTTAACATAAATTTGTGGTTTTGATTGTCAAACCAGTTTAAGCCCATGTGTCATGCCCTTAACTTTCTTCAATTCGAATTCGGCCATTTTGTCTGTCTGTCACTGCTTCTATCTGACAAGACACTGACATATTTTTCCAAATTGCCCTATTTTGGGCCATCATTTGTTTATCTGTCCTATCCACAGTTGAAGTTTAAAACAATCTAGACAACCCGTGATCTAGTGGGTCATTGTTTCAGAGCTATTTCTTCATCAGATGCCTTCCACAATGAAACAGCTTCTAATATTTCAGACAAATTCTTAAAAATCCAGGGAGATACTCAGAAATGTATCTCCTTTGAAAAGTTGGACTGTATAGAACAATTGAACTTCAGCAGTTAACCACGTGAATTGTTTTATGAATTTTTGTATTTCGACATAAAATGATTTCAATAATTTTATGCCATAAAATGTTTTATAAAAAGTTCTGTATTTCAGTTCTAAGAGAGTCATGGCTCCAGATTTGGACACGCTCTACAAAGTTCGTCCATTTGAGGTTTCTTGGTTTTGCCCTATGACATTTGCCCAGTTGAAAGACACGAGATTTTCTAGTAGTATATAGATTTTGGTGATTGCCACTGGTATTTTTACTAGTTATTATAATAATGTATTTTATATGTTGTTGCAATTTTAAATTTTTATATCAAACATTGCATGTCTATATGTTTTATTGCTGTGATTTCTGGCTCATAAGTTGTAATAAAGGTTTGATTTGTTTTTGTTTTTTTTTTAGTTCTCTTTTTTCGCAGTATATCTGCCTTTTGCCAATTTCAGATTTAGCAGAGTCGGCTGAATATGTGCACCATAGGCAACACTGAATTCTTTATTAGTATGACATGTCAGTTGGCTTGTTGGTTTAGTGATTCATAGTTTTACCAGATATGTCATATTGGCTTATAAGTCATTAGCTTATTTTAGCTACTAATTCCTGAATTTGCATTTTAGACATCTTTTTAAAAAGAAACAGACTTAACAGTTGGCTCAGACACTGGATATCCCTTTCCCAAAGACTGCAATTGTACTCTGATTGAGGATCCTGGAGAGAAATTTCATGCCAAGTCAAAGGCAACTCTTGGTTCCATAGCTACTTCATACACTCAGCTGCCAGGGCTTTAGTAAAATAGTCTAAAATGTTAACTCCATTTGCACCAGACTTTTTCACCCGTAAATTATGATTGAGTCCTTGGCACTCAAATCAGGAAGACAAGAAACCATGCTACAGAGGTTTAGGCCTATTATTGTTGAATATGTTAGGATAGAGCAGCTGTGGTGGCCTAGGGGTGAAGATGCTTGTGTGTCCCAGTCAGAAGGTTGAGCGTTCAATCCTAGGCACTGGTCTCTCTCTCTCTCTCAGGGCACAAAAAGAAAATATCTGCTGCAAATTCTCTGTCCTGCCCTTGTTGGAGTCTGATTCTGAGGGGGAGATTGAGCAGCTGACAGAGAGTGGGAGTGTGGATCCGGTGGCTGTGGAGGAAGCGGGGGAAGGGCAAGTCCAGCTGAGCATTCAGAGGAAGACCCAGGCCCATCCCCTCTTCATCCTGGGGCACGCAAGGAGGAACGGAGAAGGGAGCAACACAGCTTGCGAGAGAGAAGGCGGCCCTGGTCCCTTTCATTGGTTGCAGCTGGGAGAACAGGATATAAGCGGAGCGTTTGCATACAGCTCCTTGCTGGAAGCAAAGTGTGCGTTTTCTTGGTCAAGTCTTATCTGGGTTTTGGCATCCTCCCAACTGTGGGTGCTGAGTTATCCTTTGAAAGCCTGCAATTTATCATCCCTGCCTACCATATTAATTGCTTCAGTGTGGGTTGTCTTGGGTTTTTTTTAATTTCTAATTATCTTTACCACATTTCTGCCCTTTGTAGACTGTTTTTGGAAGAGTTTGTTATCCAACCGAGGATAATTGGACATTGGGGCCAAATTGGAGGCATTAAAGGGAATTTATTCTACTTTTTTGACTTGGTTATTTTTGTGTCATGCCCCCGGTCATCACATTCTGCATAGGTGTCAGGAAGGGTGTCCGGCCAGTAAACACTCAGCTCAAGTCGCCCTGCCCCCACCCTGAATTCAAGGCATTACAGTGTTATAAAAAGAAAAAAAAATCTTGAATATATTAGGATAATATGGCAATCTGGATTTTTAATGGAAGGTACATAGATTTTTTAAAAAATTAAAGTTTATATTTGCTACATTTCATAGAGTATGAAGGGCTTGTACACATCTTCTCCCCGTTTAAATCATAATGTGACTAGACGGAGAATCTGCTTTTCTTTACATACAAAATTACCCTGCTTTTATTTTTTGACATGTAAATTTCCGGGATGAAAAGGAACATGTTCTTTTTCAAAATGTCACCACCACCATTTGTATTCGAGTGTCAGTAACATAATTCCTTTTTCAAACACTTTGTGTGTTCATATTTTTTCTGGATGCTGACAGACTTAGATTAATGCCTGTGTTCTACTCCTTCCAAGGACCCTGGGAATAGATTGTGCAAATCTAAAAGATTGCCCCTTGCTGGAGGACTTTTTTTTCCCCCTGGGAGTTAACGTTTGTGCATGAGAAAACTTCTATTCTTTTCCTTTATAAACAAAGCAATACATGAGCAGGTTGGAAAAAGAATACCTTTTAACTTCGATATTGATAAGATCGCAAGATTAATCATTCAATAAACTACTACTATTGTTATTTAGCGTTGACATTTCTGGTATCCACATAACAATGACAACAAAAGGTTGTGTTGCAGCTCAATAAAAAAGGCATAAAAACCCCACACTTTTGCCCTAAACTTTAAGTAACATCACAAAATAAGCCAGACTTCACTAGACTGATCCTATCAGATGTGCCTTCAGCTCTCATTATTTTCCAGGTCTCATTATTTTGACAGCCATATTCAACGCATTTGGAGAGCAGATAAGCTAAACATTCAATCTCAGGCCAAGACACGATGGTTTACCATTTCTTCCCATTGATTTCATGCTGTTGAACTGTGTAGCCGAAGTATGCTTCTTTGGAGCCGGGGATAATCCTTGGCTTCTTGGTATCGATGTTGAAGGTATCACAGACTCCTGAGACAAAAAAAAATTTTAAGAGAAATTAGTTCTGCAAGAAAAGAACCCAAATTCTAAATTCAGAAAAATGTTTGAGAGAACAGTAATTTTGATTTGTGATGTTAAGTTGGCCAATTGTTTAGCTTTCAAATTCATTTTTACTGGAGTCTATCTCAGGTTCTGCAAGGATGGAAAAGTTCAACGGTAGCTCTCTCTCGTAAAGAAAAATCTGCTGAAGAGAATGAGAAAGTGTTTCTCCATGGGGTATTCTACACTTCTACATTTAAAAAATATGTATAATTCTTGATGGTCATGGAAGCAGTTAAACTCTGTTAACATTTGAACTGTACTTTGCTTGGCTTAGCAGAAGTTTCCCAGGACAGCGAAAGTCAAGATGGCATCTAATGAAAGGGACCCAAAATATGGTCTCCCTGCTGGATTTGGTGGGTCAAGAGAGATGATGAGACACCAGCAGTTCCATAAATAGCTTGGCCCTATACCATGTGGGGCTTGTAGAGGTTAATTCCCAGGTGCCAGGAGAAGGAACTGGTTGGCACCTGCATCTCAGACACCTGACTCCGGGGTCCCACGAAGAGCCAGGAGGTGTGAGAACTGCACGGCCCAGATTAATTGTTTTCGTGGGCCATTTCTTCTATGGCCCACCAAAATTTTTCCACGGCCCACCATGGGCTTCAGCCCACCAGTTGGCAACCACTGATATAGATGGTATAAAAAGTCCCAGAGTGCATATGGCATACTACATCCAACTCTGATCACCACAATTTACGAATGGTGAGACACTAGACCTAGTTCAGGGAAAAATTAAGGTGGTGATATTTGGAGGCTAAATCATACCAAACTCTGTGCAAAAAAATAACTGGATACACAACAAAACTAAGTTATTTCACAGCAGAAATTATGGTATCCCTGAAACAGTACGTCAAGGAATGAGTATTCACTGCTAACAAGCTGAGTTATGATTTCACAGAAGAAACCACATATTTTCTTAAAGATTAAATAAAACTATCCTACATCTGGTAGTTATTCCATTCAGGAAGGGTTGTGTCACATCTTACTGCTGATTCATTTCCAGCCACGTCCACAGGTAATTCTGTCTTCTCATCTTTCTATCCTCTGCTCCATGACATTGTGTATATATAAACAATATTTACTTTTAAGGTGTCACAATGTTTTCCATAGTTTTTAGTAAAGTATTCGAAAGAACCAATGCTTTGATGGTCTTGGCCTGGCAAAGCTTGTTTCCAACACCATTTTTGGGAGAGGAGAGGGCATTGCTCAAAGAAATCACTTCCTGGCATTGCTTTAAGTTCTACAAAACTTTCTTCACAGTCATTCTTGACTGGAGACTTCCAGCTGGAAAGATATCTAGAATGTAAATATAGATAATTCTCTGGAGGGATGGGAGAATCCCTTTTTCCTACCTCATAATCAGAACTCTGAAAAGGAATCTATTCCTTCTGTAGGCCAAAGCCGTTCAGGAAATAAATATTGTAAAGGGGAAAGAAAGAAAAAGAACACAAAGTGACTGGGTTTGTTTATATTAAGCTTGCAGTCTGTAACCACTTCTACACATATTACTAGAAGCTGGTGGTAAATCAGTGTAGCTTGAAAAAGATCCGATTTTGTGTAGAATCATTTGTTACAAATCCAGAATGATTTTTTTTATTGGACAGGAGGTAAAAATTATTATCGCCCACCCCCTCCCACTTGTGACTGTATGACTGTAACTTTGTCGCTTGTATCCTTATGATTTATATTGACTGTTTCCTAGTAGGATTTGATTGCTTATTGTACCCCATGACTGTCATTAAGTGTTGTACGTTATGATTCTTGATTCTTAATGAATGTATCTTTTCTTTATGTATACTGAGAGTATTTACACCAAAGACAAATTCCTGGTGCGTCCAATCACACTTGGCCAATAAAGAATTCTATTCTACTCTACTCTACTCTACTCTGCTCTGCTCTGCTCTGCTCTGCTCTGCTCTGCTCTGCTCTGCTCTGCTCTACTCTACTCTATTCTATGTCAAACTACCTAGAAGGGCTGTATTACCATTATTCTTCTCATCTTCCCTATTACCTATTTCCTTATCATCTTATGACTATAACGTCATTGCTTGTATCTTACAATTTATATTGTTTTATTTAGTATCCTAATATGGTCTGTACTGATTGTTAACAAATCACCATAGCAATTCCTCAATACCAGAGATGCATCCTGCTACTGAACCACCTCATAAATGGTTGAGGCACATACAATTATGGACAGTGAATATATCAGCAGTTCTGAGGTTCATGTAGGACCAGGCAAGTTCATGGAAAATGTGTGTGAATTACTTGCTGTGGGCATCTTGAACTGATGTGCAGAGAAGGAGCTCTCAGACGGGGCCCAGTTTCTGGACCACCCTTGGAAGGGTGCTACATGACTAAGTATTGTGAACTGGGTGTTAGAAGCATTGTGGGGACTGTGATGTACCCATTTTTAAAAAATGCAGAAAGTGTCCAGAATGTCATTAATGAATTATTAAATACATAAAAGCAATAACTGTTTACAGGTGTTGCAAGGAATATTGATATTTTCCTCACCAGCAACATTAGAAACAATTCTGACATTAAACCTCATAAAACTCATAATTATAAATACTAGTTTTGTACATAAAATATCTTAATGCTTTTAAATGCACAGAATTATAAAATACAACTCTTCAGTGACTGACTATACTGCGTACCTGATTCAATGAACAAAATCTTTCAATATTCAGATAATCTTTTTGACCAAACTGATGAATATCAATCAATTCTAAAAAGTGTTCTGGTCAAATATTTTTTCCTTAAATGAAAATGATACAGCTCCTTATTTACAATTTTCTGCCACATACCACCCCTTAAAGAACCTTTTTTTTTTTTTTTACAAAGGATCTGTTCCTTTTTAGAAGCCATAATTATTTTTGCTTCTGCTTGCAAAAATCCAAGCTGATTTGTAACGGCAACTCCTCCTGCCTGGCTTCTATAAAACCTCACAGCAGCAGGATTAAAATGTCCCACAGCACGAGATATGCCAGCGATACCTCAAATCCAAGGTCATTTACAAGAGGATTGTTTAAAAAGTGCATATGGCGGTTGTGACCATGTGATCAAGGAGTTTTTCTTTCTTTTTGCTTTAAAAGACCTTAAAAAGAGGAGGGGCATCATGGCCGCCATCTGGATGATTTTTAACCTCACATCCCCACCCTGTGGACAGCCCTGCGTGGGCCTTTTGAAAAGGGACATTTCTGCTCGAGATAATATGCACAGCTCCCACTCTAATACCAAAGCAGTGGTCAGATAGGAAAATCTTGAGCTTGGGCCAAGAAGGCAATATGCGAAGATGCCTCAGAGTAGCCACATTCACGTTTGCATGAAGATGAAGAGAGAAAGGAGCGAAGCCTATCCAGATTTACAAGATTCTGTTCTACCATTGTTTCAATAAAAGTGGTCCTGACTTACATGGCTTTAGTTACCTGGTCTGCTCTAACGGGCACAAACCAGTCACATGCAACTGGTTTTTTTTCCTACCAAATTGTCCATTTCAACCACTTTGTTAACCCTCTTGAAAAACAGACAAAGGATGCCTTGATTTCCCAGACCAGAAATATCAAGGTATCACGATCTATGGAGATTTTCAAAAGGCAACTAGACGTTCTTTGTTTTTGCTTGAAGACATTTCACTTCTCTCCACCCAAGAAACCTTCTTCAGTTCTGATTGAATGTGGAGGGTGGAAGGATTTATATTCCTTGCAGTCATCTGGTCATTGGCACTCTTTCTGAGAGTCATTGAGGCCACTTGGAGGTTCATCTGTGCCTCAGAGTCCCCTGGATAGCACAGATTGATGTGGAACCTTCTTGGAACTACGGCAAGGACTGTGTTCTAAACAGGAGACAGGTGGTGTCGTATGCTTCCCCCTTTGTTGAGAGAGGGTTGTTCACTCTTAACGTAGCACAATCAACCCATGGAACAAAAGTTGCCTTCGGAAGCCGTGGGAGCTTCATCACTTGAGACTTTCAAAAGAAAATTCGACTGCCATTTGTCAGAAATGGTGTAGGGTCTTCTGCTTGGGTGGGAGGTTGGACTAGATGACCTACAAGGTCCCTTCCAACTCTGTTCATCTGTGAAAGTCTGTTAGATGGCCTCTTTGATTCCTCTTTCAAACCCAGGGGTCCTCTCTGTCCAGATTGGTGGACTTTGCTATCTTCGAAAAAGTGACTTTTTTAAAAAAAAACAATTTTATTGGTTTTTTAAAAAACAAACAAAACAAACAAAACATAAAAACATCAGCTCTCTTCCATACATATATACAAACAGTGTGTTGGTTGGTTCATCAGTTTTGTGCATTCATTTCGTAGTCTCAATCACAGTTATATTACATAATAACTCGTATTATCAGTCGAAACTTATATATCCTCGTATCACTATTAAAAAATCATTTGACTATGATTTTATTCATTCATACTTTATGAGATAACTATAATTTAGGTAGTTTATTCTATAACAAATCATATAATCATACCAAATCTATCCTAAAAAACACTTTATAGATATGATGTCAAATAACAAAAGAAAAAGGAAAAACAAAGATATTCCTTATTATCTAACATTCTAAATATTCTATTATTGTATTTTATCATCCAACCATTGATAGAAAAGCTCCCAAATTTTATAGAATTGTTTATCCTCTTGCTCTCTAATTTCAAATGTCAATCTACTCATCTCAGCACATTCCGAAAGAGTGACTTTTGTCTTTCAAAGTCAGATGCACCACTGAATCTTGTCCTGATGGGTTTGTTCTCCTGTATTGTGCCATGCATTTGAGGAGTGGTTGTTTTGCCCCTCCGAAACACATGTCTTTCTGAATTGCATTGTGTGTATATCACATTACTCAATTTGTGTCTGGGTGTTTTATTCTTAGGATAGACAAGCTTCTGCTGTAGTGTATTTTTTGGTTTAAAGTGTGCACAAA